CTATATATTGGAGCTATTCCTTCCTCTGGAAAAGATAAAACCGCAATCAGAATCTACCAAATATTGGATCAGAAGATCCATTATTACACCTTGACATCAAAAAGGTCTCAAAAAGATACAAGATTCAGAAAAAAAGTCGAATTAAAAGAGAGAAAATAATTTCACACTTGGAAGAGGCTGAAAAACACGAATTCAATTCACACATCCAAATCCTTTAAAGCCATTTTGAAAGTTTTTCAAACATTTTGTTCTCACTTTTAACTGTCAAACATAATCTTTTAACTGACGACCTCAAAATTTAGCTTGTTGCATTGTAAATATCAATCAAATAACTCTTCTATATAATGGCAAACATAAAATCTTTCAACAAATTGGAATAAGACTGGCAAATAAGAGATTTTATGTACCGAGACAAGGCCAACGTCCACAAATACAACCATAATCCTCCTTTCTCCCGAGTTTAGAGCTACAATTAATTCTACGAGGATAAGTCGACATTTTAACGGAAACTAGTTACAGTGAGAGCACTTTAAAATTCTTCGATTAGTAATTAGTGCAGTCAAGAGAAATTTCGATTATAAAATATCTGTCATATCAACAACAAGCCAGCTACACAGTATTCCATATTTTCATTTCTTTCTTCATTGAGCCTTCAATATGCAAGCAAGAATTTCGGAAAGCGCGCATACTACAAATAGTGCACATACATAGAAAGAGAGACAACCTGGGAAACTCTTTCGTGTGTTCAAGAATTCAAGTCTCCAGACATTGACTCGGCAGAGGGAGAAAAAGCAATCTCAATTTAGATTTTTTCATTTGATTGGGTTTGGGCTTCGATTTTTAGAACTCAATTAGGCAAACTTCTGGGACACTGGGCAAAGGCCCAGTCTAGCCAGCAAGCCTATACTTGGATTCTGAATTGTAGAAAGGCAGCCTACAAAAACACCATTAAAATTAGGAGTCATTTGAAAAATTATAAGAAAAGTTTTGTAGAAGTAAAAAATACTGCCTAACATTAAAAAGTGACACAATGTCACTTTTAATAGTTAATTGTCACTTTCTATTAAAAAGAAAAAAGACATACAATGTCACTTTTATTCAAAAATGATATTTGACACTAAAAAAAATAATAGAAATAAAAAAGGTAACTGAAAAAAGTGACAAACACGGAAAAGTGGCAAAAATTTAAAAAGTGACAAATTTCAGAAAGTGACGAATTCAAAAAAGTGACAATTTTTTTTACAAAAGAGTGACATTCAAAAAAAAAGTGACAAAAAATTAAAAAAAGTGACAAATCATAACCCACGATTTTTCATATAGCCAAATTATCGAATAATTTCACAACTGATGAACAAATTAAAAACTTTTGAACTAACAACTTGAACAAGATAATCATAATCCAAAATTTTAAATACAACCAAGTTTCCAATAAGCTCACAACCAATGAAAATTGATGACTATACTAAGATGTAATCGTCAAAAAATTGTATAAACACTCGTCACTGTAAAGTGACACTATTAAAAAAGTGACAAGCACTTATAAAAGTGACATGAATTCAAAAAGGACTATGCTAGATGTACACTCGATGGTTTACACACAGGGTTACACCCCCCTCACATGGAGGGGGGCCCACAAATATTTTATTGTGTATGGGCCACCTTCCTTGTGAGGAGAGTGTAATCCAATATGTAAATAATTGTGTACATTAAGCACAATCCATTTTAATTGTCACTTTTTTAACAGATCGATTTCAATTTTTCTGAATAAAGTCAATCCCTCTTCGGATTTCCATCAGTCGGCAACAATGGATTTTCTGCCATTGCTATCATCTCCGGAGATCGAAGGGGGTCCGGAGGATAGAAAGGAGAGAAAAAAAACCCATTGCGTTTATTAGATTAATACCTGTACTTAATAAATTAAAAAATATGCATAGTAAATGTTGAATTTAGGGGGAAGGGGCTGTCATTATTTTCTCTAAATAAAATTTTTAAAATAATATATTCACCCTGGCTCACCTCGGCCATGTGATATTAAACTATCAATTGTTGTAGTACTTCAGAATCACAGAGAAAAATCCATTTCATCGTCTTCATTTCTTTTCAGAATTAATAAAGATTCACATAGTTGTCAATCAGCAAAAATTAAAGAATAAAATGAAAATCAACTGCAGCAGTTCCTATGAATCTTGTAATGCGCTTGCAACTCAAAGATCTCACTGCACTGCAGTTAATTAATTTATACACAACATCAGCACTATCCTTCAATACAAGTGATGTACCGGTGCAGAATTTGACAATTGCAGATCCATTTCTACAACGAGAATTGCATCTTTTATTGAGATATTGCGAGCAGATCAGATCACTCCCCTGCTGCATTAGCACCAAGCTTTTCATACAAGCGATGTATCAGTGTAGATTTCAACATTTGAGGCTCTCTCTCTAGCACCACAATCACATCCTTAATTGATATGCTTCGAGCCACCGGAGGCACAACTTGATTTCTCCCAACTCTCCTTATCTCAGCTGCATATAGTAGGCGAAAATATCAAAGAGAAATAATGCAATCTAAATATCAAATTTAGGCCAATTGCTACAACCACTCACACACAAGAAAGAAAGAAAAAGCAATCAATAATTTCCAAGGACTGCGTTATGTTGGACTGCATGAAGCTTAATTGTATTGTATTCTTTTTCCCTCAACTGCAGATTGACCTAATATTTCAATATATATATTTTAGGGACATCCTAATATTCATATCATATAAAAGATTTTAGGGGTAGCTGTTTTTCATGTAGACAGGACTGAAAGGTGCGTGAAAGCCTTTCAATATCCCTTCAATATGGTGAAAATTCCGCATAGTAAGCAAATGTGGGTCTCACATTGAGGTAAACCACTATAAATCAGCGCATCTGTGTGTGCGTTTCTGTTTTCAAAGTTAGGTATTAGACTTAATCTATCGCACACTGTTTTAAATAGTAAAAGAGAACCAATCAAGTCATAATGCATAATTAATCAACAAACATAACGGGGAGGTCACATCCTGCCAAGCGAGTAATGGATCAAGAACACTTTCTTTCTCATCAATAGTCATTAAGGAAACTTCCAACAAATTCAAATTACTTGGGACTCCTCAGCGACTTAATAAGACTCCACTTGCTACTGCATAAAAATAGGTGTTTGTATAGATCCTTCTAAGAATTATCAGCCCTTTCTGCTCACAAGCAATACCAAACACCATCTAAACCATGTCTATGAGATTCTGAGATCAATCTTTACCCATGAAAATCTCAACAGTTTGAGGTAAACTAAATCTATATCAGTTGATTAGAGCGAGCTGGAAAACTACTAACTGTTAAGAGCTATGAATTTTTTAAGTTAGCATACATTTCTATGGACCAACGGTAAAAGCATTCAGCTATAGCAAATTAGCTACACAAAAATACAAAAAAATAAAATAAAATACTTTCGACATACAATTTGAACCTCGTAGAGAATTTATCAAAAGTTGGATCCAAATTTTAAGCGTAACTGAATATAAAAATCAGATTTGGCTTCAAATTATGGAACATCTGGTGGTGCCCTAGTGGGCACAGTCCTCTCTGGTTCAGTCTGGTCTAATCGAAGTCGACTGCTGACACTACCATTCCAACAGCTGTAACTATCGCACCTAATGAACTCAAACAAATGCCAACTCATGACATTGATAGCCCAGTATACAGTCATGAGCTCATTCAAAGCTTAGACAGGTTCGCCCAAAAAAGATCATCTATTTGAGACCTATAAATTCATACCTACTTGTACACAACATTAATGTGCAGGGCAGCGTGTTAAATTATTATAAAACCAAACTTGCCTACTTGGTACTTAAGCAATGATAAACCAACATACCAGGGGTGCTACTGGCAACTGAATAACCACGTTTTTCGGCTTCTTGATTTTCCTTCGTGCGTCTTGCAGAGGATGGTAAAGGTTTCTGCGCCACATCTTTACCAGACTGAGAATCAGATGCCACATCAGGTCCTCCCTGTTTCTGCTTGGCCTCAATCATTAATTGCCACCTTGAAAGCATGTCACCAACTCCAGTAGCAGCTCGGACAGCGACATTTGCGGCTGTTGCACGCATCTTATCATCCTCTTCTTTGTTAGCCTGAAATGACCAAATCTTAGAAAGTAATGAACTTACATATTTCAGACAGCACCAGAGACATCTCTGT